TCTCTGCCCAGCACTGCACTGAGCCTCCTGCAAATCCCTTGTGGGAAGTTGTGCGCTGCTGGAGTTGCATTGAATTTTTTATGTCGGTTTTAGAATACAGGCAGCAACCTTTCCCAGCTACTCTCTGCCTGTGGAGCATCTTCTCCTGATTTGTTTTCTCACTTTGGAAAGGCATCCATGCCCACCTTTTCCCTCAATCAGGTGACGGCCCTGAGTCCTGAAAGCTTTCCAACTTCCCTGGTTTTGTGTGTCTTGCTCTCACGGAGCAGCTCCTGACGCAGGGGTAGGAGGTGCCTGACGCGGGTAGGAATTTGCCTGAGTGAGAAACAGATGTCTTGACCCAGGAGTTATTCATGTCCTTTTAAAACCCCCATGTATGAAGCTTTTATCTCTCCTTAACTGAGCAAACTTCCCAAACCTCTCCCCAGCCTCCCTTTGAGGCTGCCTGGCAGGCGGGCACCGCATGGGCGCTCAGCCTCGCAGGTAGTTTTCATCCAGGAAGCGCCCCAATTTGTGCTATTCACAACCCCCAGGGTACTATTCTGTTTCCAGGCTCCTAATCCCTCTTACACACACAATCCCTTACAACTTTAACTGGCGGGGCGGAGGAGCAAGTTAAAAAGGAAGGAAAAAGGAAAATGAAACACAATGTACAGCCAGGCAGTGGCTGCCAGTTACAGGGCACACAATCGACACCAGCTGCAAGCCCAATTAAACCCCACATTCACAGGTGTTCCCAGCACACTCGGCGCTAACAAAACCACTTTCTTGAAAATACCTAAGGCTTTAACACAGAAGCTCGTTTCTTTTTTTTTTCTTTTTTTTCCAACTTTTTTTTTTTTTTTTAAAGATTCTTTAAAGCTATTTAGAGCACTTTAAATACAAAGAAGCTGAAAAGGACTTTCAGTCCGCGGGAAAGAGTTGGTGCTTAATGCCAGAATGGGGAAGAATCGGCCGGGCTGAATCATCCAATGTAACCATTGGTTTCGGGAGAAAGATGGGTTATGCTGAATGCTGTTTATTCAGGGAACAGAAACTGGTGCTGGGCATGTTATTGTTGCTGGGAGTGAAATGGGGAAGGGGGGAATGGCTAGGTGGGAATCCATATCTTTTGGGGACTCATCATGGTCTACACTGTGGCTGTGAGCTTGTGTGTGGCTTCGCTTCTTATCCATCTCTGTGTGTGTGGTTCAGACAGCAAATTTTAATTCTCTTTCCCTCCCAGGGTAGCTTGGTACTGTTGTCTTTTTGACTTTGAAGCACGATTCTAAAAGTTGTTTATTTTCTGATCTTAAAGCACTCCTACAGGTGATAAATCAGTCCTCTAAAAAAAATAATATACTGTTTTTCATACATGAATTCAAAATTATTCCCCCGCTAACAGATGACTGCAGACAGCAGATGAATGCATAGCTCAGTAACTTGCTCTCACTTCATTGAAAATGCGAATTCTATTTGTTAATCTTTCATTTATAATGATAATAATGATCAAATTAGGGGATATTGTGGTACTCACAGGTTCAGTGGCACTCAGCCCCACCTGGCTGGCTCTTCATTGCTGCAGTAGCACCCACAGTGTAGTTACAGCTTAATTACCTGGTGCCTGGTCTGGTGCTGTGTAATCACTGTTGTTTCTGACAATCACTTAATGTCTTCATTACTGCCTTAGCAGTGGGTGCTGAAAGCCACTCCGTATTCAGATGCAGTCATAATATCTATTTTGTCCTTCCATACAGCGAGCTGCAGTTTTGTCTTTAGAACAGGTCTAGGACATTATTCCTATTCCTCACAACATGCAGAGATCCAAAAGACTGCGGTTTTATTTGTCTTTTTTTTTTTTTTTAGATATCCTGAAAAGGTAAAAATGGTGGTCTCTTGTATTTGTTTTTGAAATTCGTTAAGAATTACCTTGCAGATAGGTAATGTTGGCTCTCAGCATTCATTTACAGAGGCAGGCACAGGCTATGCATGCTGCTAAATGCAATGGAGAAAAAAGAATATCGCCCAGGCTTCAAATTCACAGGTATTCAACCTAAATTCGGTATAGTCACTTGGGAAAAGATGATGGAGGCAGCGTGGATAATTTTCTGAGAAAAATCATCTTGGTGCTAACACAATGATGGGAAAGGAACTGCAAACAACCCAAGGACACAGCTACGGCCTGGTGTGGCCCCCTCCGTGCCCTGCATGGCTTCAGCCACTCAGCAGTGAGAGGACAGGGTACAATAGCCAAGACAACATGGGATGGGAGGAAAGATGGACAAGCTGTGAAGGAGCAAGGACCAGATCACTGAGGACTCTTCAACTTGCAAAGATTTGACTGAGGAGATGAGATAAAACTCTGTAAAATCATTGATAGTATAGGGCAAGTAAACAGGGAAGAATGGATGAGTCACCGTTCTCATTATACAGGGATTATGAGGCACTTGCTGAAATTGCCAGGTTTAATACAAACAAAAGTGCTTTTTTATACAAGGCATGATTAGCCAGTGACAGGCAATACAGGATGATGTTGTGGCAGCCAAAAGGTGCAAGGATTTAAGCAAGTCACTGGACAAACTCACCGAGGATAGGCCTGTTGCAAGGCTTTAAAACTGATGATCTGGATGTAACCTCTGGATTTGGAGTGCTGCTAAGCCTGGGAATGATCCATACCTTGCTGCAAAGCTGCAGGTCTTCTTCCTTTGCTATCAGTCAGCCCCTTCTGCTGCCTTCCCTCTTTGCCTCACTTGACCCGATCTAGAGAAATAACATTTAAAAACCCTTCAGTTGCTCCACCTGGTAAGAAATGTCCTAATGTGACTGTGACGAGAAATATCCATGAAAAACCAGTGACCTTAGGCCAATAACATGGCAGATTTCACCAGATGAATTCACTCTCACGTCACTGTGGCTACACCACTACTTGTGTTTGCTTTCCACGAGTGATTTAGCTTTACCAGCTATTGAGAATGCTTGTGAGGAGGGTGGTTTTTTTTTATAGTTTGCATACTTGTACAAAGAAAAATAATCAAACTTGTCTTGTTGAGTCTCTTACCTCAGAAACCTGATCCTCTGGGTTAGCCAAGGAATGGAAACAACACCATATGACTCTGTGACCAGACACGAGGGCCCAAATTTTCAACACTCTACCATAATGTCTGCTGTTTATTGCTCAACAATATATAAAAGATTGAAATGAAATTCTTTCATTGTCCCTTAAAAACAGCTGAAATGCTTTTGAGAAGCCACAGATAATCCAGTTTTCTGCTGCTTCCTCACACCAAGTGGTTTTCAGTTATCACAGAACTTATGGTTCGATCTTTAGGAATAAAATTAAAACAAAAAAAATCCTTTGGAGGTTAATTATCATCACAGTTACTACCAACAGTGTTGTCAGAGCATAGAGAAAACATGACAGCATCATCAGAACTATGAGCTTATGGGCAAATTCCTCCTGGGTGTATCTGTACAAACGAAATGGGAAGAAATAAGACTGACAGCGGTGTCCTTTTGTTTTTGGATCTGCCGACTTGGTAGTGTTTCCTTCAGCTTCTCCTTCAGTAAAACATAGCAGCTCCTAGCAACTCTTGTTAGTGACACCCTGCTTCATCATTTTGATGCTGCGGGTGGGTGATGGTCTCAGAGAGAACAGGGTGGTCAAAACCTGCTGTACTGCATTTGGGTTTTTTTTTAATAAAGGTCTCTTCATTTTGTGGAAAACTTGTCCTTACTGCAGTATTTATCAAGGGGAAATGGACCCCTCTTTTGAAGACCAACACAGGTTCAGAGCCCAGGATGCTTGGGGTCTGTTTTTCCATCAACAGTCTTTTGAAAGAGTGGTAGGCAGGGAGGGGGGGGGTTGGGGTTTTTTTCTTTTTCCTTAAGTAGCTTAACATTCGTGTTAGAGGTGGGGACACAGTCACACTGTCTGCCTGGGGAAAAGCCTGCACAGAAAGACCAAGGTTCACTTTCTGGATGATGTATTCCTTATCTCCACAAGAAGCTGGTGCACTAAATCTCAGCTACTCTTCCGTGTTGGGCTGTCTCTGAAGTCCTGAAAAGCATTAAAATGCGTAACAGCAGTGTTTAGCTTCGCTGCTCATTAGAACAGCACAGAACTAATAGTAATATTGTTGTAACTTGACAAAGCCATCTAAATCCATGCATGTTTTCTTGTGAAAGCTTCCTAAACATGCTGCTAAATCCCCTAAAAAGCTACTAAACGGCTTTGGCAACCATTAGCAGAGCATAAGCGGGGGAACTCCTTTCAGTAAGTGAACAAACAGAGAAAATATGCTGAATAGCCGGACAAATGTGTTTCAGCTGGCTCTTTCATTTACAGATATAAGGCAGCAGTCAATATCAATCACTGTTTTCCCTGTTGCACTGGAAATCACAATATCTCTTTTCATTCCACAAGCTCCTTTCACCACAGTAATGTGTCTTTGGAGTGACACTGGCATCAGTCTGTTTCCGCTGTCTGAAGTCCAGAGAGCTTAAAAACACATTGCAGGGTATGAGACCTTAACCCTCCTCCCCTTCCACACACCCGTCTCCTTCGAGCCTTCCTTTCGGAATTAATTGTTTTTACTTCTTTCCCAGTGCGAAGCTGAGAAAGAAAAGTGCCCACAGAGCATGGGAATATCTGCTCTTGCACTTTGGGGACCAAAAAACGTGTGGCTGGTGTTTGGGGTTTGAATTTATCAGGTGTTGTGGGGAGTTTAACACAAGGCAATACGATTAGCGAGTTAATTTGCAACATGCTGTAATATGAAAGGTAATATTACTGTGGTTTGAATTTCGAGCTATATCCTGTTTCTTGGATGTCCTAATCGCCCACAACCTCATTTATTAAATTAAAAAAAAAGTTGGAAAAGCTCTGCTTGTCCGTATCTGGCATTTTGGAGCGCGTTGATGATCTTGTGTTTGTTTTCTTTCTTTCCAGTAATATATTTTATAATAATAAGTGTAATAATAATAACACTATGTGGTTGTGTTTCTTTATTGTTTCTTTGCAGATAACAGCAGTCTGTAGAGAAGCAGCCCTTCTGGCTCTCCAGGAAGACATCCATGCCCAATCCATCATGGGACGGCACTTTCGCTGCGCACTGACTGTCGTGACCCCGAGGATTCCCGACTCGTTAATCCAGTTCTATGCAGATTATCAGCAGCAGAGCGGACTGCACACGCTTTGAGAGGCAAATTAATACACACACAAATTCACACGCAGTGTGAATAGCAAATTTCCTTTGTAAAGCTGTCAGAAGCCGAAGAATTATGTATTGTGAGTGGAGTATCTAAAGTTAATTAAACGCAGAATTGTTGTAAAAAAAAGTCCGTGTGGAAGTTTTGAGTGTAATAGATGTTGTCCTAAACTCTATATTTTACCATTTCAGTGCATTTTACAGGTAGTAAGATTGCTGATTTAAGTGAGTTTATCTCGGTGTATATCCATGTATAAAAAAAAATTATCAAATTCTGAACTTTTGGTGGATTCTTGGCCCTAAAGAGAGAACCAACAAGTGCCATTACTGTCTTCATTTGTTCCTGCCTCAGCCACAGTTTAATCCCAGGGACCATCCCAGTGAGGCACAGACCTGGGGAGTGGCCTCTCTACAAAAAATGCTGAAAATTATTGTGACGCTTTTGATTTATGATCTCCAACAAAGCTGCCAAACAGGCTTTCCGAGATAAAGCTGAAGTATCCTAATTGATTACAGCCAAACATTTATCTTTGGTCTTAACCAGCTCCTGTTCAGACATACTGGCAAGTAGGCACCCTAAAAACTGTCCATCCCTTGACTAACCTGAACCCACGGCGAAAGATTTTTGTTGCTGATGTTTGTTTCCATCAAAATAAATAGGAATGTTGATTGGTAATTTAAAGCTGGCCACTTTAAAGAATGCTAATTAATGAATAAGAAAACCCCCTTGCAAAAACTGTTACAAATGACCACAAAATACTTGGGGGATGGATAAAATCTTTTTGAGTTATTTCTTTGTTACATCGTCTTTTGAAACGGTGACAGGTCCTTGTGGGCTCTCTGCTCTTGCACTCAGGATGAAATGCAGTTAAGCAAACTAATATCCAGGGTTTTTTCCCCACAACAGAAAGACTGAGCTTTTCCATTCCAGACATAAAAAGGTAGAGGGAAAGGTAAACCAAAACCAATCCAAACCTTAAAAAAAATTTAAAAAAAAAAAAAAGGTGACAAGAACCTAAAATTCAGTGGGTAATTCTGTGTTTTCCTGGTGTTTCACAGGTAAGTAGAAGAATTTACAGGTCAAAATTTTATTCAAATCCTCCTTTCATTTGTTGAAGTAAACAAGAAATAACATTTCAGGCTTTAGGTAAGGTTATTTTTTGGGTTTCTTTATTGATGGTTCTGAAGACTTTTCTTTCCTGCAGCCATTCTATATGTAATTATTTAGAAATTTATATAATTTTATGAGGATTCGGTATATCAAAGAGATATTTCTTTGTTATTTACTTATCAGTATGAAATTTAAAGAATAATTTTTTCACCTTGATTATGGCTTTTCCTCTCCTTACTTAGTTCCACATTGTACACAATTTGTAGCTTTTAAACAGAAGTCTGCTATTTTTAAATGACCACTTTTCTATTACTTTTATGCTAACCTATTGTTTCTGTAATTAGCATTTAATTTTACCATCACTGACAAGGATTAAGGGATGAGGAAAAGCAGGTCATTTACTTAGTTCAGCTGATGTATGTGCAGGTTTTTTTCTTTTTTTCATTGTTAGTCTCTTTAATAGTCCAAAGACAGAGGGAATTAAGAAAATTATAAACTGGAAAAGTTGCCTTGGAGATCAAGACTGCAACTGAAGCTACTTTATTCTTCTTTTCTAAATTCTCTATACTCCAACTTGGAGTTCAGGATGTGAACCGTTTGTCACAACCATTACATTTTTGATGTTTCCAAAAATTAAATGCCATACCTTTATCCCCTGGCACTTTACTCTGGTGTCTGTTCCTGAAGGGAGGAAAGAGAGACTGCAGGTTTTACTGCCAATAGTGAATTCTATTTGTAATTTTGTAGCCTAAAAGTAACACTCTGCGATGCTCTGTATGAGTAGCAAAACTCATATACGGCCATTCCTTTGGAAGTGCTCAGATTTATTGGGAACAGGCACCAAGGCGTGAATGTGAACTGAGAAGCTGCAAGAGAGGCAGGTAGGAGCTGTCTGGCCTTTCCATTTGTGGACTCCTGCTGCCATCAGAGGGAATTTTGCACGTTGAATTTGAGGACATTTAGGACAGAAGGCTGGCCCACGTCTGTTGTTTGTGCCTTGGGAAAAAAAAACATCCCTGCAAATGTTTATCCTCTCACCCGCGTGGTACCACATCTGTGGTACCAGATCTCGTGATACACACCTACGTGCCTGAAGTGATTTTGGATGCAGGAAGATCCCCTTTTTATCCTTGGGCTTGTGGAATTTGATTTTTGATTTTTTTTAAAGTAAGGTATTCTTAAAAAAAAAAACAGGCGATGACAGATTTTTGAAGTCCCTAGGTGTCTGTTGCTCCCAAAAGTTATTTTTGGAAAACTTTGCCAGTCTGGCACCACTCAGGATCTCAATCCATCCCAAGCCACTGATAAATTGAGATTTAAAGAAAGGTATGATGACTCCCCATCTCATTCCTAATGACAGAACGCTGTTATCACGGACTAGCAACTTGAAACCCACTTGTCAGAATTCTGGAAAAATAACCAAAAATTCATTTTTGGTCAAAACACACCATCACTGTAGTCCTTTCATAATCCAGTTTGGCGAGAGCTTTTGCACCCTGAGCCTCTCATTGGAACTTACTGATGAGGGCACTGTAGGACAGAGCACTCCAGAGGCATCTCCCGTTGGCCTGTCATTTAAACAAGTGGGTTTTAGCTCAGAGCTGAACTTTTCACAGCGTGTTTTACTGAACACATCGTGCCTTGGCTCTGAATCAAATCTCTTGCAGTGTGAGGCCGTATAAGCCTGAACACCTCTGTGCTGCAGAGTGAATCAAAGAGAGAGGTGTTCTCTCTTCTGCTGGGTTAATCACTGTTGTTGTTTGGGTGTTTCTATGAGATGTTATTTTAATACAGTGATCAAGGCTCAGTGAGCAGAAGGTGTCTGAGAAGAACATCTATCTTCCTCCCATCCTCTTTTTAACTGAGACTGACTTCCTAGACTCCTTTACGTTCTTTAGAAACTGAGTCTTTTTGCTGCCTGCTATTATCTTTTGGAGTCAGTTTTTGGCCCAAATACTGCTTGAGTTGCAGAATTGTTACCTTTAAATCAAGCTTTCCAATGTTTCAGGCACATTTTGTTTAAATACAAAAATCTACCTTTTTCCTCCAATGACAACGTCTTGCAAAATGGCATAAAATGTCTTTTGACAGGTTTGTCAAAAATGACCAGGAGAATATTTATGATCAAAATGCAAAAATGTCTTCACTTAAAAAAAAATAATTAAAAAGTCAGTCCTGTGTTCTCCTTAATGCATAAAACAGATTTTCACTGCACGTACGATATACAATTCTTAATCCTGGAAAAAAGAATGAAGTTTATTGTGGATAGTTTTCCTGTAGTCTCTGAATGAGAGCAGAACAAACAGTTTACTCAGCTCAGGTGCGAGGGAAAACATCAGGGACAGAATAAAGATCGCTTTCAAAGGTGGTTATTCAAAATCATTGAATTTAGACTTGTCAGCCCTTTCAAATATTATGTCCTTAAAGTGGATTTTTGTTTTGTGGTTTGTGTATGCTGGCTCTTTCCTTTTAGCTTCTTTACTCATTTTAAATGTCAGAGTGTGGTGATTCCCCTTCGGAAACTGGGCACGTGCCAAACATAATGCTCCTGTAACTGAGCATCCGTCCATTAGTGCTGCAGGAAGGCTGGGGGTGATGTTTCCTGGTGAAGGAGGCCTCAAACTCTGCTGATGGGGTGTGGAGAGGGGGAAAGAGGAAGCCAAAGTGTAAATCTGGTGTTTTGCCCCGGGAAGATGAAGTTCAGTGATGGACACAAGGTTGTGGGCAGGAGAACCGTGTCTCCCTATTGCAACAGGTGAGTGTGAGGCCTGTGAGGGGCCTCACCCTGAAGGCTTTTGGTTCTTCCTGGCTCTGCCAGAGAAAACAACTGATGGGTAGGTGAAACAGTATTGCCAGCACTAGAAATGCCAGTGCCTGGGGGTTGTGGCATCCCGCTATCTAGTGGTAGCTAGGAGAGAACTAAGGAGGAATTGTACCTGGAAGATGGAGTCACGCATGTGCCTGGAAGGCAGGCACCCACTGTCACAACCTTGGCAAAAGCCCCTGGGAGAACTAGTCAAAAGCAGGCATAAAGAACTTGCCTTGCTTCCTGTGATCCCAAAGTTGGGATAAAACTAAATGTGTTTCCTCACCCTTCTGAGTTTTAAGATGATTCCTGTGCTGATGCAGTCAGGGCCATGGGAAGTGGCTTGCTGTGGGAGCAGAGGTACTTTTTGAAAATTGGTTTTTACATTGTGACCCTTTTGTATTTAATGTTGTTGTTCTAGTTGTAGTGAATTGCAATAATTTTTGTCTCCTATGAACCCCAAAATCTTTTGCTTTTGCTGGTGCCTTTTTTATTTTCTTTGGCATGAAAGAAAGCACCCCAGCTGATGTAATGTGTACAATTTGATAAGGAGCTTTCCTGAGGGAGTAGGTGCAAGAGGCATGTAGGATTGCAGTTGTAGTTGGGCATGTTTTGCATGGCAGGTTAACATCTGGAAGACATATTCCAGCTGAAACCTACCTCTAATCTTGGGGTTTGCGTCTGCTCTTTCTGCTACCTGTTCATTCATTCGTCTTCTCTGTAGCCACGCGTTTTCACCAGGGCTTTATATGTTGTGTGTTAAATATTTTAAATGGTGTCATTCTTCCCTGCAGCCTTAAATCCAACAGCTCCAGAGCCCTGATAGGAGAAGGAGATGTGTGTTTTCTCTGTGGTGAGGGGGAGAGAGGAGCCCCGCTCTGTGTTTGCGTGGCAGGCCTCCAGCAAGAGCGCAGGTGTTGCAAGAGGAGGCAATGGCAACCAGATGACATTCCTTCCCCTTGAACTAGTGTGGAGCCATTGCTCAAACAGATTGTGGGTCCAGCAGTTGGACTGGATGATCTTAAAGGTTCGTTTCCAACCTAAATGATTCTGTGATTCCTTCCAACAAAATTTCAGGCTAGTGTGTTGTCTGCACGTGCCTGTGTAAAATCCATGACAATAGAGCTTGGGTTCATCCAACTAAAAGATGAGAGGAGTGGAATCACTCTTGGCAAACATTGGAAAGATACTAGGAGATGGTCCAGAG